GCTGGGTGGGCCCCAGAGCCGGTCTGGACGCAGAGGCTAGAGGAAAAATCCTCTGCCCCCCTCGGGGATCGAACCCCGGTCGTCCAGCCCTTAGCTAGTCACTATACTGACTGAGCTATCCCGGCTCATAATAAGGATCGTACGTTAATTAATTACAACCTGAACCCGCTTTGTCTCATGCACCGTCAAGTTGCAAGGTAAATTAATCTTTGATATAAATTTATTGGTGTGACAATAATAAAAGCAATCGGTAGTAGAAAAATGTTTCCATTTGTCGGAAATCTCCTACATTCTTACTTTTCTCAACTAAATTATGACATCGCTTCTACTGATTGTAACCTGTTTCTCTTCATCCGTCCAATGGAGTTTTCATTTCTGGGAACAACTAGTAGTATCCACCACGGTCAAGGTCTAGGAAAAGGAAGGACCACAGTGATACCAATATTCATAGTAAGACATTCCTGTACCAAAAGAGACGGATGACAAGTTGACTGTAGCAGCCATTTTCCAGCGGACGTTAAGGTTTCGCTTACTTTTGATCGTACCACCAACACACACATAAATACATCACGCGTTTCATTAATGCATCTTCTCTCTTTCCTACCTCGTCCCGCAAGGCTGACATACTGGGACCCGGGCAACAGATTTAAGTTCCAGATATTAAAACGTGCTACGTGCGCCAATATTTGCTAACTGAATTCCATGTTTTAGGTAGCGATCTTGGCAGTAATAGGAACAGCAATAGCAGCTCCACAGGGTAAAGTCCAGCCCGGCTCACGAGTACCAAACATTGCCATCTTGCGGCAAGCACTGGACCTTCAGCACGATGGTTCCTATCAATACAGGTGACTCACAAATGACCTCTATATTCGTGTGGCATGTCCTAATTTTAAAGAAATTCAGGTACCACGAGGACAGGGCGAGCAGCTGCTAGACATAACACAGTGCGGTTTCTGGACTGGCTGTTCGTGCTCGCAAAACAATTTTGTACGTTAGAAAGAGTAAACTGAGTGATCGACTGTCGACCGGGACAACACAGCGCCAATCATCATGCAATGTTATCCAAAATTGCTCTTTCACGACGTGAAGATGTACCTAACTATGCTGGTCATTATTCACTGTCTCAGGTTGACTTATGTTAAGTACAACCTTCATTTCGGGAAATTACTCAACTCTCGTCTTAA